AGTACCCTCTCCAACCTTGGCTGATGACCCCTTTGAAACATCCAAGAACAGAAGCAGAGCATAGGTACAATGAAGCACATTCAAAAACAAGGATTACAGTTGAACGTACAATTGGGATTCTGAAGCAGCGCTTTCGATGTCTAGATCGTTCAAGGGGTGCCTTACAGTACAGTCTCCACAAGGTCTCAAGAATGATCATTGCCTGTTGTATATTGCACAATTTTGCTCTCCAAAGAGGTGTCACCATGGAGGAAGAACAGAATGAAGAATCTATGGCAGAGCAAGAGTCTGACAGTGATGATGAAGAATCAATTGAAGGACCAACAGTCCAACAAGGAAGATTGATGCATCAGGCACTAATACTTGATGCCTTTGAGTAAGTTCAATAGTTGTTCACTTTAAAACCCATCATTCCATTGAGAATTTTGACCCTTGCTCATACTATCATCTATACCTGTGCCGCCTTTCATTTATTATCTATTCCATGTTTTGTGGTTCTTTAGTATCCTGAACACTGAAATAACAGTACTGTGCAATTCATATATAGTGCGACAATCTCAATTTGGCACACTAGGCAAACCTGCAGCTTTAGTCACCAGCCCTCAAGTTGCGATGTGACCTGTCTGTTTAGTTATCAGAGACCTAGCGTTAACAAACAAGCATACATAGAGAAATATGAAATTCCTTTACTAACATAACAAAGCATACTGCATTTGCACTTGAAAACAATGGAAGGATTCCATGAAACAAGCCACTCACTGACCAGCAATGCAATGAATACAGCATAATGCATATTAATGAAAGAAGCTATTAAACTTCATTTCAAATTAAGTGTGTCTATAGATTTAGATTTTAAAGCCACTTTTACATTATACTGGCACTGCTAAATCCCAATAAAGAGATCCTCTAAGCTGGTAGTAAGTAGACTATAAATGTAATTTTAATACAATTAAATGGCATGCCTCTCCAATGGTGCAATCGGTCAGCATGTGGTACTTATATGACAGTATAGAGGCATGTGAAATGCCAAGGTTGTGAGTTCGAGCCTCACCTGGAGGGTGGCATGGTGGCTCAGTGGCTAGCTCTGGTGCCTCACAGTGCCAGGAACTCGTGTTCGATTCCACCCTCGGGCAACTGTCTGTCTGGAGTTTACACATTCTCCCTGTGTCTGCGTGGGTTTTCTCCAGATGCTCTGGTTTCCTCCTACAATCCAAAGATATGCAGGCTAGGTGGATTGCCTATGCTAAATTGTCCATAGTGTTCTTGGATGTGTAGATTTGGTGGGTTATAGGGGGATGGGTCTGGGTGGGATGCTCTGAGGGTCAGTGTAGACTTCTATGATAAAAGCAAAACACTGCAGATACTGGAAATCTGAAACAGGCACAGAAAATGCTGGAAGAACTCAACAGATCTGAGCCTGTTTCAAGAGTATTTTAAAAAATTCCAGTCCCTTTCAGTTATGAAGAAGGGTCATATGGGACTCGAAATTGTAACTCTGTTTCTCTCTCCACGGATTCTGCCAGACTTGCTGAGTTTCTCTAGCATTTTCTGCACTTGTTGCAGTCTTAACACACCAGTGTGGATAATGCCTTTAATTTCATTCTCTAGTCAATAGGGTTGTCAATTTAACCGGCAGATTTCATCCCATGCTCTCCCTCTGCCCTCTGGCCATAGTCATCCTATAATGGAACATACTTGCTTCCTGTATCAATTGGAAGGCAAGAAGACTCGTTGACCATCGTAGGATGCTTGAAAGACTTTCTTTCTTATTTTCAATGGTTTTATATCTAGTAAAGTGAACTGTTCAAGAAAAAATTACAAGTAAAAAATATCTCTGTGATTTTCTTCCAGGAGTTGCATATAGCAATGTTCAAGAGATTGATCTTCAATTTCTGGAGCCTCCAATCCAATCCTGTAAGGATGTCAACCCTACTCATAAACCAAGCATTATTGACAGAATAAGGAAGAGAGGAAGCTGTGATCTAATATTATTGAGGATAATGACCAAAGCCACACATAACTTACACAATAGTTGATAATTCAAACATCTGTTCAAATGGAGGTGCAATGCAGGTGCTCCCAAGCACTGCAGAGTTGTTTCAACAGTGACTTGAGGGCCCACTCCAACAGTGAGGATCTGGTGGCCCTGTAAACCAGAACTTTCTCATTGTTGTTGACTGCAAGGCTGTTGCACAACAGAGGCAAGGTTTCCGAGGAACTGGGTCTCAGGGTGCAACAGCGAAGTCCGTGCTTCAGCCTTCACCATTGGTGGCTTGGCAGTGGGAGAAGATATGCTAAAAGTCTCTTGGGATTGGTCAGAGATGTGATTGGAACAGCATCAAACATAGGAGACCCAGAGTTGCTCTTCCAATCGCAGATTCTGCCTCTCCCATGCTTGCTGTTACACCTCCTCCACTCACAGATCCCCTCTTTGCTGCTTCTAGTGCTTCTCCAGATACTGAATTTTCAATTGGAGAAGACAGCAGTTTTTTGCCCTCTCAAAATTTTACCTCTGTAG